TTCAGGTCTTTTCAAGAGTGTAATGACAGATGTTGGGTAAGAAAGGAAAAGGTGAATGAGAGAAAATAAAAGTTAACAGATTAGCACTCCGGGTAAGGCAGGGCTTACAGGGCAGACACTGGAGCAAGGGAGCTAGAAAGATGCCAAGATTATAGGAAGGGAAAAGAAAAAGATTTTGACCCTTTTCTATCTATCTCAATTCATCTTTCTGCACCCAGCTTTCTTCACAGAGCAAAATCACAAGTATTAGTAGAAATTGTCATTTCTTTAAGATGAAGACCACTTGCAGTGATCCTAATTTGGTTAGCCTAAAACAGTCACCAAAAATAAATAAATAAATATCCAGTAAAATCTATCTCAGGAGAAAAAAAATTAAAACTAACCCTAGGAGCTAGAAGTTGTCAAACTAATTTCATATTCATATGGAACAACAATCTAGTAATTTTAGATAGCTTTGCTAATCAACCTAATCTGAAAAGCAAGGCTGGTGCTCCTTGACCTAATCCGAAAAGTAAGGCTGGTGCTCCTTCTTTTTGTTTTTGTTTTTTTAAGATTTATTTATTCTTGAGAGAGAGAGTGCGCACGCGCAAGCGAGCAGATGCGCTTGTGCGTGAGGGGGAGGGGCAAAGGGAAAGAATCTTGAAGCAGGTTCCAGGCAACCTTGAGATCCTGACCTTTGCCAAAACCAAGGGTCTGAGGCTTAATCTACTGAGCTCAGGTTATGATCTCATGGGTCCCGAGATGGAGCCCCAAGGTGCATGGGGCTCTGCCTTCGGCGGGGAGTCGGCTTCAGGATTCTCTCCCTCCCTCCCTCTCTCTCATAAATAAATAAATGAAGTCTTTAAAAAATAAAAATTTAAAAACTTGGGGCACCTGGGTGGCTCAGTCGGTTAAGCATCTGCCTTCGGCTCAGGTGATCCCAGGGTCCTGGGAGAGAGCCCCACATTGGGCTCCCTGCTCAGGGGGAATCTGCTTCTCCCTCTCCCTCTGCCCCTTCCCCCAGGCCCTCCCACTCTTGCTCTCTCTCTCTCTCTCAAAATAAATTTAAAAAATCTTTTTTAAAAAAATTAAAAAATAAATAAATAAAACACAATCACTAATTCCTTTCCTATAGAAATTACAAAAATACTTAATAAAATTTGTTATAATGTATTACATAGTTAATAACTGGAAAACCTAACAATTTAAGGAACAAATTTATCTAAACTGTGTATATACTTCTCATTATAAAACAGAGTCAAACCATACCTGCAAATGCAAAGTTGTAAAAATGTAAATACAACATACAACACTGCTACAGAACTGATTATCGATATTAATAAGTTGTCATTTACTGAGCCTGCTAGACACTATTTAATCTTCACACCTTCATAATGACACCATTATTATAAAACTCATTATATAGATGAGAAAACTGGGACTTAACAGAGTTAAGCAATTAGCTAAAAAAATTCCAAAACAGAATCAATCAGTTTGTCCAACTTTTAACTGAGAGAGTCCACAGTAAAACCTTGCTAAGGACAATTTCTTGGTACATAAGAGCTTTAACAGAGATGATGCTTTAACTCAGGGGTTAGGTAAAATTTTTCTGGAAAGGGCCCGACAGAATGTATTTTAGGCACTATGTGCCGTACAGTCTCTGTCATAATTACTCAACTTTGCCACTGTAGAGCAAGTGTCCAGACAATATACAAAGCACAGCTGTGTTCCAACAAAACTTAATCTATATACATACAAATTTCAATTTCATATAAACTTCATGTGTCATAAATATTCTTCTTTATACTTTTTTTCACCAACCATTTAGAAATGTTAAAAACTACTCTTAGCTAACGGGCCATACAAAAACAAGAGGTAGACCAGATCTGGCTCATGGGTCATAGTTTGCTGACTCCTGCTTTAACTGAAAAGGTAAACATTAATAAATATTAATTTAAAAATATAAATACAATTATTTAAACATAAATAATATTTTCAAATAAGGAGTTTCAAATAACCACTTCATGTATTATTTCCCTGATACATATTGGTATTTAGAATTACAGTACCTTGGAGGGGGGAAAGATGGCAGAGGAGTAGGGGACCCTATTTCAACTGGTCCCCGGAATTGAGCTGGATATCTACCAGACCACTCTGAGCACCCACGAAACCAGCCTGAGATGTAAGAAGATCTGGATCTCTACAAACAGAATATCGCAGGCAGTTGGTTTTGAGGTAGAAGCGGGGAGCTGTGATCCTGCGGGCAGATATCGGAGGACAAACGGCAGCGGGAGGGTGCCTGGTCGTGGGGATCCTACATTGCCGGTGAGTGACAGCCTCGCGTGCTGCGGACGGGGCACAGACTCGCAGACCCATAGCGTTGGTAAAGAACTTTAGGGCAGCCCCCGGGGTGGAAAACCAGACGGGCGGGGTCGCGCGCAGGCGAACCGCAGTCCCCCCGGAAAGAAACCCGTAGCAATGGTCACGCGCACGCGAACTGCAGCCTCCGAGAGGGAAACCCGGTGCGCCGGTCCCGCTGGTGAACTGCAACCCCCCCGGGTGGAAACCCCGAGCAGCGGAGTCGTGCGCCCGCAAACTGCAGTCCCCGGGACAGAACCCCAAGTGGCGGTGCCGCGCGCACACGTGAACTGGGAGCCGCTGGCGGTTTTAGAAGGACAAAGAGCAGAGATGTGCCCCGACCTGGAGGCAGGACTGGGAGCGCTGCAGAGGGACGCACAACCCAGACACTGCAGTTTATAGCAGCACGGACAGAAATGGAGATGGTGTGGCCTGGAGAGCTCACTGAAGAACAGACTGCGGTCTCTGCTCTGAGGCAGAGGGTTGGAAACGGTCTCTTCTGCTCTGACTCGCGCAAGAGATGCAGAAAGCCACCAGGGAAAGGCACCAGAGAACAAAAGCCCCAAAGACTGATTCCCACTGAGCACATTCCCCGCCACAGGGGTGCAGGGCAACTCCGCCCAAAAGGGTTGCCTGAGTAACAGCG